TAGTCAACTCGTCCATCCTCGATTCCGGATTAACCATCTACCTATGTAACAACCTCTCCTAGTTCAAGTTACTACCTTGCCTCGCAAGCCCGTTAGACTACGTTTAGGCCGGAGAACATCCTATTACTATCGAGGGATATAGCGAAGTCGATATTATAGTAAAGACTAAGAACGGATCCTAAGTTATTACTCTTAAAGACGTAGCTTTTTGCCCAACTTTCGTATACAACCTCGTCTCCCTCCGCTAACTCAAAAACCGTAGCATCTAGTAGGACACCTATAACGACTACCTATAGCGCGGAGAAAACGCATACCTCTACGACGTTTAAGACCGATACAATCAATTCGTCCTAGAATACATTCTCTAGATAACTATATACGCTACCTTCGCTACGCGAAAGCAATAGCTTAATATATAGACCGCTCGGGCACTATCTAGAGCGGATACAATAATATAGTATCTCCGCCTTAGTTACCTAGGCCCAAGGGCCCTCGAACATCTCGTTAATAGTGCTTACAGAGTTAAAATCAAGGGCATTATAATAGTAGAGTACAACGGGTGCGGATATAGCAAAGCAAAACGTCGGATCAGCCGAGAACCACGCCTAGACCCTCCAAAGGCAGGGGACCGCATCGCTATTAACTTCTACGAATACCTAGGCGCGTAACAAGATTACACTATACTACTACTCGCTACTGACCGATACTCTAGGTATACGTAGGACTATTATATAAGAACCTACAAAGGCGACAATATCCTAGCGGCCCTTAAGACCCTCTTCCGTATACTAGAGACCTAGTATAAGATTAAACCTAAAGCAATCGAGTATAACAACGAGTTCACTAAGACCGACGCTATTATAGCGTTCTTCAAGAGCAAGGGTGTTAAAGTCGAGCCCTATACCGTCTATACGCAAGAGTAGAACGGGGTAGCAGAGCGCTCGGGGGGTATAATCAAGGAAAAACAACGTTATATAGCTCTAAGCGCCAACCTCCCGATCAAATTGTAGCTTAAGATTTCCTAAGCATCGGTATACCTCTTTAATCACACACTAAGGCAAGGAAGCGGTTAGAAGATACTATTTAAGAGATTCCACGAGCACCTAGAGAAGCGAAGCATAGTCGTAATAGAGCGACGTAAACTAGCACTAAACTATTTGAAGGTATATAGATATAAGGCTTACGCTATAACAACTACGGCGCAAAAGAAGGAGCGCCGACTATAGAGATTCGAGCCAACGGCATTCGTAGGATACCTAGTAGGATACTAATCCTCTAACATCTACCGAATCTAGAACCCTAGAACTAACAATATAGTAGCTACCCGAGACGTTATTTTTAACGAGACACAGGTCTTTTCTAGAGACCTCGAGCGCATCGCGATCGATTAGAAGCAAGTTAACCTAGAGGCACTTACCTAGTAGCTTGCCGATTAAGAAACAAGAAACCTAGCTACTAAACTAGATAAACAAGAACCCAAGAATAAAGACGAAGACAAGGATATTACCGTCTACCTAACCAATAATATATTAGAAGAAAAAGAGCTTAAAGAGGAGATCTTAGATACTATTATAGTTAAAGGCGACGCCTCTAGCGATTTCCCTAAGTTCTACTAAACACCTCCTACAATACCTCCCGCTACTCTTTTAACCGCGCTAATAACTAGCTTACAAGCCAATAATACTATAGAAATAGCGGCGGCATTCGAACTATAGCACGTAGCCTTCTACGCAGGCACACTATCGACTATAGTTAGTATATTAAGAGACAAGCCTATTACAAGAGCTACGATTAACCGACTCTAGCGAAAGATAGCAACCCTAGCAATCGAGCCTAAAAAACCAAAGACTACTAAAGAAGAGCAGACTCCGCGAGGAACTATTATAAAGAAGCGCGTTATATAGCTAATAAAGAAGAAAGATAGCATTAAACGCCTATATCGCGATATCCTTCCTCCCGAGCCGAAATAGCATTACGAACTCGAGAACTACCTAATAGAAGCGCTCTTCCTACAAGTAGAGAAGGATCACTTAGCTAGCTACAGCGTTAAGTAGTTGTAAAATAAGGTTTCCTACTAACAAGTAAGCATATAATAGATTCTAGACTATATATAGGTTTACGTTTATAAGTTTAGCTAAGATAGATTCCTCGATAAGTACAAAGCGTAGCTTATAGTTCGTAGGGATTAATAGTAGAAGGGATTAGTAGAAGAAAATTACGCTACTACTCTCGCGATCCGGTCACTCCGAACAGTACTTGCTATTACAGCAAGATTCGATCTCGAGTTAATCTAATTCGACGCGGTTAACGCCTTCGTAAACGCCTTCCTTAACGAGCTCGTATATATACAGATGCCCTAGGGCTACCGTAGATATAGGAATATACTAAAGCTAAACAAAGCTCTATATAGGCTAAGAAAATCCCCTCTCCTATAGCAACGCGAGCTAACTAATACTTTAAGAAGTCTAGGATTCGTCAAGATACTACGCGAGCTATATATAATAATAAACAGGGACGTTATTATCTTCTTTTACGTCAACGACATTGTAATCGCGTACCGTAAGAACAAGCAAGAGAAGGTTAACAAGATCGTTAGCAGCCTACGCGAGAAATACGAACTTACTAGCGGCGACGAGCTATAGTAGTTCCTAGGTATCGAGATCTACCGCGAGAGAACCAAGAAGCTTGTTTAGCTTAGCTAGACATTATATATCGAGAAGATCGCGAAGCTCACGGATTCGGAAGCTATGCCTAGAACACCTATAACGACGATAGAATTGCTTCTATACGATAATATTGTAGATCTAGGCGCAACGCGATTCTACTAGAAGAAGGTTGGCTCGATACTCTACGCTACTATCACATCGCAACCCGATATCGCTTTTGTAGCTTCGAGACTTTCCCGGTTCAATTACAACCTAGGCCTAGATTACTACGTAGCGGCTAACTAAGTACTAAGATACCTCTACCGAACACGCTTCTTTGCCCTCTAATTAGGAGAAGGTGACTAGCTGATTGTAGCAAGTGACTCTTTATTCGCTAATAACCTTATTGATTAGAAAAGCTTACAAGGCTTCGCTATCTAACTGTTTAGTAGTCTAATCGCGTAGCGCGTAAGCAAGTAAGATACGGTTACAACCTTAACGACCGAAGCCGAGTTGTTAGCTCTCTCGTAAGCGGCTAAAGAAGGTATGTTCGTAAGCGGATTAATCTCCGAACTATCGGTCGATCTTAACAACGATTAGATTACAATCTAGTACGACAACTCGCAGACTATCCGACTTGTTAACGCTAAGATCGCCACTCTATAGACTAAGCTTAAGCACGTAGATATCTACAACCACTAGCTAAGGCAGGAGCGCGAAGCTAGCAAGATCAAGGTAGAATACATGCCTACCGCGAAGATAATAGCCGACGGGTTTACAAAGGCCCTGACGGCAGATAAACACTAAGAATTCGTTACGATAATTAATATAGTGCCTATCGAGAGCCTTATTCGCTAGAGAGCAAGTAAGACTTTGACGGAAGAGAGTATAGCGCTTATAGCGGGATACCTATAGTCTATATAAGGGGGTAGGAGCTAAGGAGTCTCCCGACTCTCCCTACTAGAAAACAAGAGATAGAGACTGGAGGGAGCCTAAGGCTAGATAGCTACGGAACGGAACGGATACTAGGGAGCTAGATTGCTAGGGAATTTAGATCTTAGGAATAACCTCACTTATGGGAGTGCTCTAGAGCGGCTGCCTAGCAGTCACTCTAAGGGGGTGTGTTGAACCCACTGTAGCAAAGTAGGACTATGGTGGCGATATTGGATGAACCTACTCAGGGGTTTAGGGGCAGATTGGTCTTGGTATGGCATTGGGTATCCGTTAGCTCCCCCGAGGAAATGGGCTTTTGGAGCCACACACAGCTTTTTCACAGTTACACAGATTTGACACAATTGAAGCCATCATCACTGTTGATTCCTCCGTCTGTTCAGACCAATCAGATTCCGATCCTATATTTTGGGTTCGACAACTTGTGGCGTAGGTATACGCGTTCCCGTATATTCTCAGAAAACGACTTTAGTACGTGACTGAAGCTTTGCTGAGTCAACAATTTGACCTGAACAAAAGTGAATAACCAGGTCCAGAAACACGCTGCAACAACGATAGCTTCTTGTCTTTGTTGCTGTTCAAAGGGAGCGGAGAGGGCCGCCGACTTCTCGCTCGCCCCAGGTACTGGAACACCCTTTGCGCCGACGAGCTGGAATCCGAAGCCCGGACAATGCAGCTCATGCAGGAGCGCACCTCGATCCCCGCCCCCGACGTCTTCGGATTCTGCCCAACTCTCGACAACCCTCTCCGTTGCCCGCACATCTGGCTCTCGTTTATCCCTGGCATTTCCTTGTACGACTTCTGGTTTGCGAAGACCCATCCGGATTTCGACATCCAGAACTTGCTTGTCTCCCGAGAAGGAGACCTCGTCGGTATTATCGATTGGGACGGGGTCGGTGCCTGGCCCAAGTCACTAGGCAACCTCAGGTACCCGGGCTGGTTGACCCGAGACTGGAATCCGGGTATGTACGGGTACGGGTCTGACGGAGTACATGATCCCGAAATGCGAGAGGACTCGCCACAGACGCTGGCCCGTTACCGCAACGTCTACCAAGACGCCATCCGACATGCCTTGGGCAAGCACAAGATGCAGGGACACAGCCAGGCGTATCACACCAGCGCCACGCCACGTTCATAACCGAGAACCTTCATATCGCGGCCAGACACCCAATGGGCAGGGGAAACATTCTGAGGGAAATTGTCCACGAGATAGCCGGGCTTGCCATGGTGCCTTGTAGCGATCAGGAGCTCCTTTACCTGGAGCTATGCCACTCTTTGGGTCAACGCAAACCATGCGAGGGGGCACTGAAAGCGGCTTGACAACGCTGCTGCAGAACGAAGGTCTGTGATTGGCCGGATTGTTGTGGGCCGCAGACAGAGAACTTTTGATGGGCAAAAAGGCTGAGGTCGTGCCCGGGTTCGAACCGGGGTTACTGGAAGGTTCTGATTTCAAAATCCAGAGTGATAACCACTACACTACACAACCTTGTCTTGTGTTTGTCCCGCATTTGAACTTGGCCCTTATGCGTTTGTAAAGATTTTGTTGGCTTCAGGGGTGCATGGTGCATGACTACACTACCTATCATTGCAGACAAATGCCATGGTAGAGGAAGCGACTCAGGACAAGTAAAAAAAAACAATTACCGGTGTATGGTCTAGTTAACTATTGACATGCGCCAGCCCAGACGTCTCGGCTCAGCCACCGGCCTCAATCCTATGTCTTCTTGTGCAGCACACCTGCGCCGGCCTGGACCCGTTCGTCAGCCATGATTCCACGTCGACCTTTCCCAATGATTTGCACTCACCTGGTGGCTCGGGAAAACTAGCGTGTCAGCAATCACCACGTTCTGGCGCCGCCCGGCAACAAAGACAACCACCTCGGCGATGTCGTCAGGGGTCAGCGGTTCGCAGCCACTGCGTCCAGTCAGTCTCGGATGCCCTTCGTCCAGCCCATGGGACGTGCTTACGCATAGACGGCATCGGCCTTGGCCTTGTCGCCATAGAAGCGGACAACAGAGAATTCCTGTCAAGACCACATCAGCAACGATCATCTCATCTGGCCATGCTGCCGGCAAACCCACCGTCTCGACCTGCCCCGGGTCAATCTCCATGACCCTGATTCGGGTATGAACCAGCTCCTTGCGCAGCGAGTCGGTGAAGCTGCGCACCGCCGCCTTGGTGGCGCAGTAGATGCTGCCGCCGGCGTAGGGCTCGCGGCCGGCAATGCTGCCGACGTTGATGATGTCGCCGGCGCCGCCGTCCGGGCGCGCCTGGAAGATGGGCAGGATGGCCTGGGTCATGTTGATCAGGCCGGTGACGTTGGTCTGGAACATGACGTTGATGTCCTCCTCGGCGATCTCAGGCGCGCGCGCGACTGGCATCGTCAGCACTCCCATCCGCCGACGACAGGCCGGCACCAGGACACATACCTCCCTTCACCAAGCCCCTAGACCCCGAAGCAAGTCAGCAACCTCGTTATCCCTCATCTTCCCGCCCATTCCCTTTCCCCCCCCCCAAAAAAAAGAAGAAAAAGGGGCGACGCATTATTAACCAGCACATCCACCGCCCTCCACCCCTCCGGCAGGCCCTGCACGAAGCCGCGCACCTGCGCGGCGTCGCTGACGTCGAGCGCGACGGGCAGCACCCGGACGCCGTCGCCGACCTCGGCGCGGATCTCGGCCGCGATCGTGGCGAGGCGGTCGGCGCGCCGCGCCGTCAGCACCAGCTTCAGGTCGGCCGGGGCGGTGCGCGCGAACTCGAAGGCGCAGCTGCGCCCGATGCCCGACGACGCGCCCGTGATGACGATCGTCTTGCCCTGGAGGCGCGCGGCCATGGCGGCGGTCGACATGGTCTGTGTCCGGGTCTGGGTCCAGGTCCGGGTCCGTCGGGTGCTTGGCTGGCGGGGGGTGGCCGCGCGGGTCGGGAAGAAGGGTTGGGGCGGGTTGCGGGCGAGGATGGCGCGGGCGGTTGTGGTGGTGGCTGTTTTGGAGATTGTGGACAGCAGGGACATGGCGAGGTGCGGACGGGGAGGAGGCGGGAGGAGGCGGGAGGAGAGCGGCGGCGACTTCTCCCCCAAGCGAGCGGAATCGGCGCTGACGCTCGCTATCGCGTTGCGGGACCCACTCACTGTGTGCTGCGGTTTGCAATGCCGTTGCCGGGCCGGCCCCGGAAAACAACCCCGCACAGCACAGCGCCGGCGATAAGCAATACCCCGCACTCCTCCAACTCCTGACCACGATGTGGATACATGCAAAGTGAATTATTTTGTACTGAGGGGATCAGGGTGGTAAATGTTGAGTGATAACAGCGTTTTGATAACTTTTTTCATGTTTGTGTATATTGTGAGACAGCGTCGAGTCTTTACCAGACATGTGATATCCCAGACGGAGAGCCCTGAGCCCCCGTTTCAGTGAAAAGTGTCCGGATACCCACCACCGGGTAACGACTTCAATCATCCAGCCCAACCTGCTCGCCATGCAAAACGTCATCCTCAGCAATCCATCAGCATCGCACTCTATACGCCCAAAGGGACAACCCCGCCGCCACTGCTCTGCGTCCCCCCACTCCCGTCGCTCTCCGCCTTGGCCGTCCTCCCCGCCGCAGCCGCCTCCATCGCCGATGCCCGCCGCCTCTCCCCCTCCTCGCGATGCCGCTGCGCCATCATCTCCTCCATCGACGGCCCCCCCGGGCGGTACACCCCCAGCGTAAGCACCGCGGCCGCCCCCAACACGGCGCAGCAGACAACCATGTCCTCCCTGAGCGCCTCCGTGTACGCCCGCCTGATGCCCGCCCACTGCTCCGCCGACAGCCCCGCCGGGACCGACGCCATCTGCGCCAGCGCCTCGGGGGCGACCCCATCCGTCTTGGCGCGCAAGATGGCCGACGACGCCGCGATGCCCAGACTGCCGCCGAGGATCCGGACCTGCGCAACAATCCCCTGCGCCGACGCTACCCAAACCGCCGTATTAGCCCGCAGCCCCCATCTCAAACGCAAAAACGCCCGGTAAAAACCCACCATGCTCCCGCACCGGCGCCTCCACCCCGGCAAACATCGTCACGCCCGCCGCCGACAGCCCAAACCCCAACCCCACAAACACCAAAAACCCCACCACCCTTGCCTCCCCCCCCAGCACCGCCATCTCCAACCCACACCCCAGCGCCATCAGCAGACACGCCGCCCCCAGCGTCTCCGCCAGCCAATCCCTCCCCCCGCCGCGGCCGCTGCCATTCACCGCGCCCGCCAGCGCGGTCCCCGCCGCAGACGCGGCCAGCATCGGCAGCAGCAGCAGCCCGGCGTGCAGCGGCGACCGGCCGCCGACGACCTGGAAGCGGACGGGGAAGGCATAGACGCAGAGCAGGTAGGGGAAGCCGGTGAGGGCGGCGTGCAGCGCGGCGCAGGCGTAGCGGCGGTTGGCGAGCAGGACGCGGGGCAGGGCCGCGGCGGCGGCGAAGCGGCGGCGGCGGCGGTCCCTGTCGGGGTGGCTGGTGGTGGTGGTGTGGTGGTGGTGGTGGTGTTCGATGAGGCGCTGCCAGGCGAAGAGGGTGGCGAGGCAGCCGAGGCCGGTGAGGAGGGGGGCGAGGAAGAGGGCCGAGGACCAGGTGGTTTGGGCGGAGGTGTTTTGGAAGGGGAAGACGATGAGCACGGCGGCGGAGATGCTGTTTTGGTGGGAGGGGAGGGTGAGTGTGAGGGGGGGGTTTCGTTTGTTTGTGGGAGGAGGGAAGGTGGGGCTTTGGCTTACAGCAAAAAGGCGCCGACAAAGTCGACTTCCTTCCAGAGCCGCCGCTCCAGGGCGGGCAGGTGCTCCTTGGCGGGCCAGGCAAAGATAAACACGGCGAGGGAGACGCCCCCGATCGGGCCACTGACGCCGGTTAGCACGAGTCTGATGTCTGTGTCCGGGCCGACAAACTTGATCCAAAAGACCCATCGCCAGCTCGTGTACTGGGTGAGAATGCCGCCCAGCACCGGGCCCAGCACGCCAGACGAGGCAAGCACAACGCCGACGATCGCGGCAATGTACTTCTTGTTACGATCCGGCGTAAGCTCCGGCAGGATGATCATCGACACACTGTAGAGGCCTCGTCACAGTCAGCAGCACCCTTCCCCTTCCCCTTCCCCTTCCCCTTCCCCTTCCGGCCAGACAGAATGACTCTCACCAGAACCCCCGAGCCCCTGGAGCGCCCGAAAAGCAATCAGCTGCTGCATGCTCTGGCTACACCCGCACGCCAGCGAAAAGACAATGAAGATGACATAGCCCGCCGCAAAGGCTGCCCTGCGGCCCACGACATCCGACACGCGGGCGAAGAGCACGGCACAGGACAGATAGGTCAGCGTGTAGGCCAGGGCGACCCAGTTGATGCTGTCGACGTCGCCGAACTCGGCGGCGATGGTGAGCATGGAGGTGGCGACGATGGAGGAATCCAGCATCGAGAGGAAGAGGCCGAGGGCGGGGGGGGGGGGGGGGGGGGGGGGGGGGGGGTTGGTGTCAGTGGCTGGTCGCGGGGCGCGTGGTTCCTGCTGGGACATACCCAGTTACAAGAAGAACATATCGCAATTTGGGGAGAGCGGGGGCTTGTAGGTCTGCTCCGTCGGCGGCGTGGCCGGGTGCTCCCTCGCTGGGTAGTGGACCAGGGGTGGTGATCTGGGTGTCTGGCGGCCTGGTAAGGGCGCTCTTCTCGAGGGGATGGGGGGTCTTTTCCGACGAGGGGGTCCAGATTCGGACGGAATTCGTCGCGAGACTTGACGAGTCTCTATCATTTTCGACGCTCGCCATCTCAGTGGTGAGGCTCAGTGGTGAGGTTGTAAATGGGTGCCTGTACTGCAGCTGTGATGAGACGCAACTTGGACGAGGACAGCGGCGGCGGTCAAGCGCTTTATAGGCTCATGACGACGGGAATGATGACGGCTTGTTCCAAATTCTCCATGCAATGCATCTCCACTGCCACGGCCGAATGGTTGACACCGTCCTGAGGCCTTGATACGCGTCAAGGCTTGGTCGCCCGGCTCAGCCCAGAGGCCGGCTCGGACTCGGACTCGGCTCTGCAGACACCTTGAAGCTAGCATCTCTGCGGATATGCCCCCGTCTGAGTCTGTCCGGCTAGAACGAGACTAACTGGCCTGAAGGAAGGGTCAGACGCCCACTGGGCCCGCCCGCATTCGCACTCGCCTAACTCGCCTAACTCGCCTCGCTCGCGGCTCACGCACTCAAAAAAAGACGCAAGAATCGAGCTCCGTAATTGGTCCGGCTCGCAATACCTACCTAGTTAGCACTCAGCAGTCGCAAGGCTAACGCCCTGGTCCTGAGATCTCGCATTCTCGCTTGACAAATGCTTGCGAATGAAGAAACCCGAGACGTGTCGACGGCTCCTCGGTGTCTAGTCGTCGTTCGTCGAGCCCGGCGCATGATGAGAGAGACTCGGCGTCGGTTGATTTCGAAAGCGGTCATCCCGAGCGGTAAACTTCACCCACCCCTCCAGTCCAGGCCCGGA